TTACAATTCTAAACAGATTCACTGATGCACTGAATGAAATTACCTCCATGACTAAAGATAATATTAAAGTATGTATTTCTGAAAAGAGGAAATTCTTCCCAGAAAGAAAAAAAGAAATAAAAAATAAACAGGAAACAAAGGATAGTGTAAGATCTTGTTCACATCTTCTTGCAAGAACAGATTACCCTTGTAAAGACTTTGGCAAGAGGATTGTTAAAGACATAGTAGCTTGAAATTGGCCACCTGAGTGTATTTACTCCAAAAGCACCAGCAAGTTTCAAAAATCAGAGGTTTTTCTCAGAGTAATAGATACACTTGGGTAAAATAAAATGAATAATTCATAAGAATGGAAATATACTATTGATAACAAAATAATGACTAATTTTGAAAGATTAGAAATAAGGTGAAAGGCATATAGTAGTCAAAAATATGAGGGTATATTGTTAGTGCCAAGTAATCCTTGACTGCTTGGAAATGTGGTAGAACTAATGACAAATGAAAAATAATAAAGTCATAAACTGAACACAAAAACACAACTGAGAAAAGAACAAAACGATAGAGGCATTGTGAAAAGCATCTGACAAGGGAAGATAAGGGGGGAAAGCAGAAATCAATTAGATCAGAGTAAAACTTTGCTTGTGTAGATGCATGAGAGGCTTCAGATGAAACTCTAAATATATTTTTTAGGGTAAATATTTAAATTCGGTGAAATTGGTGATTATGTAGAAAAATACATCCTATGAAAGCTAGGGGAATAAGCAAAGAAGTGTAAAATAAATTTAACTATTAAAGTACATAACCTTTAATAAATTAAATTGGCCAAAATTTTATAGTGCAGACTTCCAAACATTTAAGTAATTCCTACCTATTAGGAAAGAAGATCTTGGGAATGAAAGACAAAACATTATCTTCAATGCTTGTTTCTGATGCTATCTGGCTTTGAAACCAAAATCAGTTAAGAAAAGTGTGAAACAAATCATTTTAACCTCAAAGATGATTATTTCTACATCTTATACAGATTGTAAAGAAAAATTCAACAATGACATTCCATGTTTTTGAAAGAATTTTAGGAAACCAAGAAGAGAAAGAGATTCCCTCAATCTGATGAATATCTTTTAACTCCCAATAACCCAGAAACACTGGGTTATTACAAAATCACATATGAACAAATACAAAGTTTAACTGAAAAAGAAATCTAAGTGACCAGCGCCATAACACATAAGACTTTATGCTTAATCTCACTAAAATAAGAATAAATTTCAATCATAAAATATTTCATTTATTCTTAGCTAGTTGAAAATGAGGTAAATCAATTTTACTCCAACCAATATTCAGATTCTCCCAAGATAATTATTCATATATATATTCACTGAACTTTTTAAAAAACAGAAAACAATAAGAAAATATCAATTAAAAGAGTGACTTCGCAAACATTAAAATGGATCAGTATATAGCAATGAAATCAAAAGAAATAATGTTACATATATCAAGGAACACACATGTATTTGCATAGTACTGGAAACAAAGGTTAGTTTACCTGAAAGTTAAAATATAAGGGCTGGGGTTGTGGCTTAGTAGCGGAGTGCTTGTCTGGAACGTGTGTGAGGCACTGAGTTCAATGCTCAGCACACATAAAAGTAAATAAAATAAAGGAATTGTGTCCGTCTACAACTAAAAAATATTTTTAAGAAAAGTTAAAATATAATAATAAGCAATGGAGACCAATCTCTGACGTGATTTATTTAACAAAAAATAATGTCTACTAAACTAAATATTGACAAATTAGCATTGTGATCCTGATAGGATTAATAATCCCATTACCTTCAACACAAAGATGTTGTTCAAAATAGCAGGCAGTGGTATAATTTACCTTTTAAAAGTGAAAGTATGCCTCTCATGTATTTGTTTTTAATCCCAGGAGGAAAATGTGTTTGCATCTATCTCTGAGCAAAAGTCATGAATGTATATGGATATCTCTATCATTTAACTTTTCTGTCAAAAGGAAATGATCTCTTAGCCCATTTAAAGTCATGGATGGGCCATGACCTATTATGAAAAACCTTAAATGCAAATTTTTTAAGTGAAAGTAGCCAATCTGAAAGGCTATACTCCAGAATACAACATTCTAGAAAAGGCAAAGTGATAGAGACAGTAAAGTGACCAATGTTTTTCAGCAGTTTGGGGCAGAGGAGGAGGAACAGGTAGGGCGCAGAGAGTTTCAGTGCAGTGAAACGACTCTTTATGATTCTGTAATGATGGGCACAGCGGGTTCTGAGTTGGTCAAAACCCAAAGAACTGCACAGAATGAAGAGTAAGTCCTAATGTATACCATGGACTTAATAAGCACTAATATCAATATTGGTTCATCAATTTTAATGAATATAGCAAACTCCTGAAGGAGGTCAGTAGGAGAGATGGTGTGAGGAGTGGTGGGGACCTATAGAAATAGGGGACTCTGCACTTCCTGCTCCATTTGTCTAGGAACCTAAAGTTACTTTAACAAATAAGATCTATTATTTATAAAGTTTTAATAAACTATTTTAGTAAACAAAACATGAGTTATATTTTAAAATGTAGATAAGTGAACTAATTTTAAAATATCATCATGTGGGAATTTGCATTGGAGAGATGAAAATATGCCCATTAAAAATACTCTGTGGCAAGATTCTTTACTCCCAGCTACTTGGAAGCTAAGTAACTCATTTGAGCCCATGAGTTTGAGGCAAGCCTGGGCAATGCAGTGAACCTGTTTATTAAAATAAATAATAAAAGAAATAACTTTGCAGACTTGGTCATATTTTTGGCTTGAGGTAGGTAGCTTAGTGTTAGAGTTCATAGTTATCATGCACAAATCCTCAGATTCAATCCCCTCTACCCCCACCCAAATATATATATTTT